CTTTTATCATCAGGTAATAAGTTATAACTCCTAAAAAATTATTCTTTTGAACTTTTACAACTAACATATCATCACCATGTACACCTTGTTCAGGAACCCCAGCTTAAATTGTAATTAAGGGGAATGACTTCTTCCGATCACTACAGTTACCCCAGCAGCAGCAGAAACCTTGTTCTCCAATGTCAATCAATCAATCAAAGTTTATTTGTAGAGCGCCTTTCATACACAGGGCAACACAAAGCGCTTCACAGTCCACATCACAAATCAATGGACATCTATATTTACCCCTGAGGAGGTGATTGCGTGAGGCGTGGCAAAGGCCTGACCCCTCTGCTGGACACTTGTGGGCCGACCCTGAAAAAGCCCTTTTAACAGCAGCTCTAGAGTGTGTCAGCAGTTTACGCCCCCCACAAATAGACATGGGAATGTGAAAGGGGAGCAGAGGTGTAAGGAGAGGGTGTGAGTGGGGGGGGTTGTAAGGACACTGGGGAGTTATTCGTGTGCACTGGCCCCTGGGGAGTCCCACACACACCAATGTCCAGCCACGCTTAATATTACATCAATTCAGATTTTGGAGTATGTGGTATTTTTGACCATTTTTGACCATCTTTGTATTGATAAACAGAAATACTTAATTCCAAGGAATTAACTAGGGGCTCATGGGTGGGGCTAACATGTTTATTAGCTTAGCCACTGGGCTTGTATGCTTGTGTTTGCATAGAGCCAAAATGCAGACTGTAAAGTGAGTAATACAATCTTTGTTCACTTTTAGAAATAGACTTAGAAATAGAGCACGGTACAAGAGCACGTTTCTGACTACGGAAGCGTGTTAGGTTCACTTGTGAGTGTGTGTTTTGTTGTTGCTGGTATCATGTTATTTCATGATAATTTCATGTTGTTTCAAGATAATTTCATGTTCGTACAAGATACGGATCATGTTATTTCATGATATAAAACTATCATGTTATTTCATGATACCAATTTATTTTGAAATAACAAGATACTGTAGATACAGAAGAAGAAGCTGTAGACGCCAGACCTTTAATATTTACAGTCTATGGCCAATCATATGCCAGGAATGTGGAATGGCTCAGGCAAAGGACCCGCTTTGCACCTTTCTGCGACAGCGAGGGGTGTCAGAGGTGTCGGAGGTGTCGGAGGTGTCAGATGCAGGAAGATCGAGTCAGTAATCAATGTGAAGTTATGAACTGCTATCACCATAATTACATATTTAGCACTGTGAGGCTGGCGTGTTAGCTTGTCAGCCTAGCTTTGTATTTCCCATGATGATCAAGCTAAAGGCTAAACTGTATTTGCTGGCCTTAAATTAAACCATTGTTATAGAAATAATGACCAAATAGGGTCATAACAATAATGGGGAATAGTTTGATTGTTAATATAGTGCTAAACTGTGTGAACAGTAGTAGCTGTAGCCGTGCATGTTAGCTCTGTTACAACTTGAAATTAACTGTATGGTGCTTTTTATTTCATTGTTTACAATCCTGAAATATTATAAATCATTGCGGATATATTTAATAATGGTGATAACAGTTCATAAATTCACATTGATTACTGACTTGATCTTCCTGGCTGTCGCGGAAAGGCGTAAGGCGGGTCCTTTGCCTGGGCCATTTCACATTCCTGGCGTAAGGTCTGGCGTCTACAGCTTCTTCTTCTGTATTTACAGTATCTTGTTATTTCATCATTGGAATCATGAAATAATCAATAAATCAATCAAATTTTATTTATAAAGCGCTTTTTCATACAAAAAATGTAACACAAAGTGCTTTACAGTTTAGTTAAAAACAATCCCAGATGCCCAGCCCTAAACCCCACCACCCCAAAGACCCACCCAAAACCACATTTATTGATTACTATACACACTAGGGGTGGACGATATGGCCTAAAATTCATATTGCGGTATAATTTGTGACACAGGCGGTAGACGGTATATATTGCGGTATAATTTGGTGTGAATTTCAATATAGGTCTAACAGGTTCTTGCATGAAATAGTCAAGATTGTTACTTATTTATATATTATAATCTAGTATATTTGTAGTATAGTTGTGAGAAAAATGCTGTAACATACATTATTTATGCAGTTGGAGTAGGTCTCATGGGGGGATTAAACCCACGAACTTCAGGCCCAAAGTAGTGTTGGGCATGCTACTTCAAAAACGTACAGCACGGGGGCTAAGTGGATAGCACAAGAAGGTCCTGGGTTTGAATCCTGGCAGAAAGGGGAATTTCTGAGTGGAGTTTGCATATTCTCCCTGTGTCTGCATAGGTTTCCTCCGGGTTCTCCGGTTTCCTAGCCTGACTCTCGCCAGACCCTTTTAGATTGCTGCGCTTCTCACATGGGTCTGGGTCAAGCCCTGGCGATCCAAGATGGCGCCGTGTTCAAAAGAATGGTTTGTGCTCAGTGGCGCATGTGCCGGCACGGTCGCTGACATATTAGCAGAACTCGCCATATCACTCGCTATATTTGGGCATCGTCAGGTCCTCCCGGTTCTGCGCAGTAGATGATCTCCCATGATGCTTTGCGTAGGGCTGGGCGATAAATCGATTTTAATTATTAAGTCAAATTTGATGTTTAGGGTGATTTCTTCTTAATGAAAATCTATAGTTTTTTTTGTTTTTTTTCTCCAGCGCGGAGCTACAGTGCTAACACGCTAACCACAGGTGTTGAGTCATTTTGAAAGCTCCCTAATGCTAACAGGCTCCCTTCTGTCCTGACCCTGTCACAGTTGGTGCTGTCACAAAAACACTTCAGACGTTCAAGAATCAGACTTTATTTAATCGCCGGAACACACCAACACACACTTATATCCTGCCTGGCTCCGGTCGCTCTGCTCGTACGCCACACTTTTCATTCTTTCATTCTCATTCATTTCTGTGTTATAACAATTGTATTTAGAGTAATTATTAGTTTTAAAAATGTGATATTTAATGTAAATAATGCATGTTTAATACAATTGATATATTTTTGTATCACATCGTGTCACTGTAAGTGAAGTTATTATGGTGCTTTCACACTGGATCATGCATTGCGTCGACTTTCAATGCAAAGTCAATAACTGCATGTGCGTCTCGGGAATGCACGAACTGCGCTGTAGAGACGCATGAACTGCGCGGCAGAGGCGCAGGAGCGGAAAATCGGCGCACGCAGGAGATACATTTTGCTGAGCGTTTCCTTTGGACGCTCGTGCAGCGACCAATCACAGAGCCGCAAAGTGGTCAAGGGGACATTAGCGACTGAGCGAGCAGACTGAACATACTGTAAACAGCCAAACCAGGACCCACACCAGGACTAAACCAGGACTAAACCAGGGTTGACAATGGGGGACATAGTGCTTGTGAATATAAGTGTTGTCATGCTCCCCTGACTTTATGCAACTGCTTCGAGTGTGTTCGCTGTTGCATAATTAAAATGTTGTATACTAATGATTTTGAAAATAGGCCCTCTGAAGAATGTGCACGGGGAAAAGCCCCAAGGACAAGGATTGCAAACAGGAATAAAGAGGGTCAAATGGAGAAACTACAATCAGTCATAGAGATACCAACTTTCAAAACGGGACAAATTATTAACTCCAGGAATAAACATTCTTGTCTCTCTGGCGAGGCCAAAAGTCCAAAACACCATCTGGCTAATCTCTCTCAGGCAGACTGGGAGATTCTCCAAAGGCATTCTGACGCCTCCCAGTGGACACGGGACGCCAGCACACCCGAAAAGAACATTCGGGAGACGCCCACAAGTGACGTCATCAGACGTCTTGATAAAACTGTTGGTTTGAGTTCTGGGGGGAAGGTTAGCGCAGGGGAAGAGGAGAGGGACATATTAGTTTTAGGAGCACTTTTTTGTTGAATATTCTGTATCTGATTGTAAAGATAATTAAATGCAGATGTTAAACGTGAAGATCTCTTGTCTCGCTCTTGCATCGACTTTGGATACGTCAGTCAAAGGGAATTATTGACCCCATTTTGGTGAATCCCGACGTGATCGGGGCAGGAGCGGGACAGAGATGAGCTCAGTTATAGAGACTGGATTTGTGGGTTTGGAAAAATCTCTCTGCTCTTCAAAAAGGTCGCTTCTAAGGTAAGCGGATCACAGTTTTGAAAATCTGCACATTGTTTTAAATAGAAGAGAGAGAGATTTTGGCTCGACAGATTGCAGCGTGGCCAGACGACCGCCGTGACGGGGCGTTCTATCGGACGCAATAGAACAATAGTCAGGTTTAGACGTTTTAACCTTGGGGGAAGCATGGGTCCCTCCAAAAAAAACAGAACAGATGATGAAAAGAGCCACAGGGGTATAAGTGCAAAAGAGGCACAAGTGTTTAGAGAAATAGGATTAGAAAATAGGGATAGTTAGGGTCAGAAGTTATAGGATAATAAAAACTCCATATCCCCCGGGGGTGGGGAAAAGGGCACAATTAATTTAAACAGAAAAAAGCCAAGTATTTAAAATGTGGATTCTGATAATAATGATCTGATTAATGAGAAAAAAGGGAGCCTCTTGGCTGTACTATGAGTTTCATGTGAAGAAATGATCAGTTATGGAAGTGTTTCTCTTATTCTGATGTAATGTTTAATAGTCACAGAGAATCAAAAAAAAAAAAAAAAAGAGATTCTGCTGGGACTATTACTCATGTAAGCAAATAGTAATGTTTTTCCATTACTGACGTATTTAAGGATAAAATGTAAAGTGTCGTTTGACGTGAGAAAAACTTTTACTACTGATTTAAAACCTTGTCACGAGAAAAACGAGAAAAGTATTTGACTCCATGCTTCCTTTGTTCTCTCTCTCTCTCTCTCTCTCTCTCTCTCTCTCTCTCTCTCTCTCTCTCTCTCTCTCTCTCTCTCTCTCTCTCTCTCTCTCTCTCTCTCTCTCTCTCTCTCTCTCTCTCTCTCTCTCTCTCTCTCTCTCTCTCTCTCTCTCTTAGTCTCTGCAATCTATCCAACGCACGCTTCTCTCAGCGCATTTAAACCCAGCTCATGCATGGGATCTCCCCTCCACACACCCGCAATACCAGATCACTCTCCTCACATCCAGAAGGGTTGCTCTACACCTCATCCAACCAACTCTCAAACAAACTCAAAGGCTCTGCCTCGCAATATAACATCCAATCATCGCTCCAGCAATCGTTCCCTCCGCTCCCTCCCCAGATTCCGCGGTCACCCCCCACATCCTTCCTCGAACCTCAATGCACGAATCCCCATCTCATCAGGACGTTCCAGCAACTCTGATCCTGCATCGTCATCAGTCAGGTCGGACGTCTCCCCGTCTGGAGTATCTTCCCTCGCCTTCCACATCAATCTCCGTCCCCGTCCTGCCGCATTCCTGTCCGGCACGTCGCGTCCTAGAGATCGCCCAATGACGCTCGCAACCTCACGTCGACCTCATCTCCCTGCACTCATCCAGTCTCTCTGCGTGCGCATCTCACCACCTCTCAATGACTCCAGCTCTCCCTCACTCTCATCACGCCTCCAATCCCTAACCAAGCAGTCTCGCCCCACCATTTACTTCTCCTCGTCGACGTCCCCTCGGTCTCTAATGCTCCATCTCCGTCTCCCCTGCAGGACTCCCTCCTGCTTCCACCCCCCCCGCTCCCAACCGAACTCTCTCAGGCCCCTACCACTCGCTTTCCTCTCTCAGCTTCACTCTCCTCGCACGCTCCTCGTCACACCTCCCGCCTCTAATCACTCGTCCTTCCTCCAACTCTCATTCTCCCCAGCGCAGACTCCTCTCGTCTCTCCAATCTCCAGCCTACCCCCCCATTATCATCTTCTTCCACCTCTCTTAACCATCTCCATCCAATCTCTCTCCCTCCAGCAACTCTCTCTCTTCACACTCCACATCGACTTCTCCGATACCTCCTCGGTCTCATGTCTCGTCAACCTCTCCCCACTACATCCTTCACGCGCCTCTCTCCCTGCTCAACTCCCTTGATCTGCTCCTCATCTCTCCCGGACACTCTCCAAGGCCCCTACTCCCCTCCTCACGCTCCCCGTCCCCCCCGAAACCTCCGCTCGCCTACACGTCTTCGCGTCTCTATCACTCCCCCACTCTCCCTCCCCCTCCTCCGTCGCGCCATAGGCTCCGATCTCCTCACGAAGAACTCGTCTTCAAGCTCCGCTCAATCCTGGCCGGGGGTCGTCATGCGCCTCATCCCATCGATCTCCCCCCCCGTCTCGCGCTCCCTCGCCGATCCTCAAGCTCTCTCACTCTCACGCATGAAAGATTTATGTGTAGAAAATTATATATACAACTCACACGATAATGTTACTGACATGGAGTCATAGGATCACAGAACTTGAGAGTTAGATCTTAAAAGAGGCATTATTTTTGGACGGCGCCCTCGCTCCTGAATAGTCCTCCACCACCGAAGGGGAAGACCCAGATCTACGAGCTCCGCCGCTCAACCTCCAAACCCCAGAGCCTGCGCCGTTATCGGACGTGAAAACAGGGCTTCCTGCCCCCTGGACCAGAGCCCCCCGCTCGTCCGGGAATAGCCCAGGGCTCCATCACGCCATGCCCCTCAGGAAGGGACCACCGGTCATGCGGACTGTCCGGGAGCCACCCAGAATCACCCGATCTCCTCTCCTGTTCGAATCCTCCGCAGCAGGACCGGCAGAGACGCACCGGTGGGAAAGCGTACAACAGGCCGCCTGGCCATTGGTAATGAAGCCAGAGCGTCCCACGCCTAAGGTGCGGCTCGTCCGCGCCCTTAAGGCGAAACCAGGACGGCAATGTGCGTTCTCTGCACTGGCGAAAAGGTCCGACTACTGCACGCCGGAACCTCCGCCAAAAAAGATCTCGCAGCTACCCGTGGGGCCAGGCCCCACTCGTCCTGGAGTGGGGCCCCCCTTGGACATTCTGTCGGCTTCCCACGTTCCGGACCCCCGGGACGTGGCGCCCCTGAGAGACAAGGAGGTGAAAGCGCAGCCGCCCACAGCTCGACAACCGTCGCCATGCATGGAGAGCGGGGGACCTGGTGCCCCCCCTGCCTGTTCAGATAGGAGACCACTGTGGTGTTGTCTGAGCGCACCATCACGTGTCTCCCGCTGCAGCTGAGGGCAAAGTGCAGCCAGAACGACTTGTGCACTTTCCTCCATCTCCAGCAGGTTTGATGTGACGGGCTGAGTCCGACCAGCAGCCCCTACAGAAATGCGCTGGACCAGACCCCCCCCTCCTTCGAGTCGACGCTCCTGAACACCTCGACGTGAGACACAGCGCAGGGCCATAGTCACTCCGTACCCGCAATAACCCGGAGTGAGCCAGAAACGCTGATGTCCATGCTGCCCTTGGGGAACCCAGATCACCTCCCCCCCGTCCCGGGGGGTGAAGCCTGAGGCGCGAGAACCACCGCTGAAAATTTCTCATGTGGAGCAGGCCTAGCCGCACCACAGCATGAGCCTCTTCCCATCATTCCCTAGCAGGGACCTGAGGCGCCGAGCGGGGACTCTGGGCCCGCCAGAACCCGCGCGGCCAGACCGGGTAACACTCCATCCGTCTGTCCACGACAATGCAGCCGATTATCACAGAGTCTAGCTGCAGACCGTGTAAACCATGCTTTGGCGGCTGCAGCTTGCTCTTCTCCCTGTTCACCAAAAAGCCCAACGCTGAAATGTGGGACAGGACCCAGTGCGTGTGGCGTCGCCACTTCCCGGGATGGGGCCAGTATTAAACAATCGTCTAATATAGGATAATATTACTTACCCCCGCCTGTGATCGGCTCCAGAACTGCTTCCACACATTTGGAAAGGTGCGAGGCGCGAGTTGCGTACCCGAAGGGGAACGGCAGTACTCAGTAATTCCTCTCTCCCACTGCGAAGTCGCAAAACCTCCTGAGTTCTGGCACTATGGGCACTGGAAGTAGGCGGGCTTCAGGTCTATGGAAGTCATCCAGTCTCCATTCCCTGACACACTCGAGAGCTGCCTGTGGACAAATCCGAAACTGCCGTTGGAAATGTCACTCGTTAACACGCGCAGAATCCAGAATGGGACGCACCCCGCCTGATTTACTTTGAGCACAAAAGAAGTAAGGGGGAGTAAACAGCCCCCTGTGTCGTCCTGCGGTCTACCTCCACTGCTGCGCCTCAACTCAGCAAAGGAACCTACGCTTGCAGTGCCTCTGTCGATCCCCGTACCTGAGAGCGTACTGCCCGGTACCCTCGGAATGGTGGTGGCTTTCCGAAAAATTGCAGCGCAGTTAACCTCTGCGCAAGTTTCTCCAGACCCAAATATCTGTCAGTAGGCCCTGACTCCTTCCAATGCTGTAGAAATTCTGTGAGGGGCGGAACTGGAGTTGGAACACGAGACGTCACGGCCCGCCCCCTCTCTGGTGTTCCTACAGGGAGGGGGGGTGCTGAAAAGGGCCGGGGGGGCCCCTGCTTCACACCGTGAGTCGCCGAGGGCGGTCACGAGTTCTCATGCCCGACGTCATAAGTACGGGACTGTTTCACCACACGTGACTCGGCTGCTGTGCCCCCCCCGCTTCTTGCCTCATGGAGGGGGGGGCGAGCCCCTGGAATGGGAAACCCCCGTGTTAGCCTTGTACTCTGCTCACCACACGTGACACGGCGGCTGTGCCACCCCCCAGCTCTTGCCCTCATGGAGGGGGGGAACGAGCCCCTGGATTGGGAAACCCCCGTGTTTTAGCCTGTACTCAGAGATGCTAACACTCTTCGGCTGGAGCACACACAATTATCACTTACCAGATCCCTCCGCCTCCCTCTCTCCGGGAGCAAAACATGACCCCGTGAATCCGGAGCCAGGCCCGCGTAGCGACGCTGCACGCCCTTCTCAGGGGCTGCAGGCCTAGCGGGCCACGTTATATGCTCGAGAATAACACAATCAAATTAAATCATTTGACCATGTTAAACCCCCAAATGAGACTCAGAAGCGAGTACTGATGAAATGCCGGAGCGGCCTTTATTGAAAACATTTATCCCACCCCGACCTCCTCTGCCATAGGGAGGGTCGTCGGTGGGTGGTGTTGGTCGCCGCGAACCTCCCGTGTGCCTGTCTGGGCCCGGGGTCCTCGTCGCGTGGGCACGATGGACCAAGGAGCGTGATATGTCCCGGGCGCCAGACCACGTACATCCTGGTAACTGAAGACCTCGTGAGTAAAATAAAAAACACTCTCTCCCTCTGCTCGCTCTCGCTCCTCTCAGCTCTACCGCTGCTGCTTCGCTTCGCGCCGCTGCGCCGCAAGTGTTTTACCGAACTCAATATTACTCAAAAACTTTCAATAATAACCACACTCACAAATGCTGCCATATTACAGTGTGTTGCCTTCTACACTAAACTCAGCTGTAGACTGAATGAGAAGCAGTTAAGGATTTTTTCTAATAGTTAAAACAAAATCAATTGGATCAGAGCTTCTGAGTTTTGTGTTGCGTTCATTCTATACTGACTTAAACCTAATCCAAATCTACATAATAGCCCTCACCTGAGGCTCTAACAGTTCAGGAACTGCTCTCGATACTTGAAATAAATCATGCTCTGATCTTTCAATTTCCTATAATAAATAAAAACCGAGGAGAAAATATTGAATTAGAATCTACAGTGAGTAGCTCACTACATTGTTTGACATATACGATCAATCTCTAAAAACAATAGTCCCATGCATACCTACAAAATTCCAACCTCACCTGATGCACTGAAGGGCCTGTTGCTTCTACCTCAACATTCCCTATATTGTTCTCTTTTGTTGGTTGAGTTTCCTATGTATGTTAACAGAAGATTAATCATCACAATTCATAATTTGCTATTACTTGTGCTTTCTCTTACTTACTTTCCAACTGTTAAAAAAGCTCCTGATATCTTTTATCTTTTTTTGTGGAGGTGGCATTTTTTCTAAATTATATAAGAAGGTATAGAAAATCAAAAACAGACATTCATATACATGAACTGCAGAATCATTTATATAACTTGGCCAATGTCAAAAGTTACATAGTATTTCTCAATACAATGAGTTAACAAGAGTTTGGCAATAAGTAACAGTGTGGATTTTCTTTTTTTTTTATTCCACTCTCAACCCAAAAAGGCAAGTAATGACTCACAGGGCTCTCAAGTATGCAAAATAAAAACTTAAATGACCTGTTGTGGTGTGTTTTGCGCACAACCAGCATGCATCGTTAACGCAATGGAAAATTTAGGTATCAGAGCTTTAATTTCGGGAGCGCTGGTTGCGCTTTGGGAAGAGACATGTCAGAGACACAGGGGAGAAACGGGGGAGATACGAGGGAGACCCGCACTTGCAACATGGTTCTGTCTGCATATGGTCCGAGCTCGGTACCATGTTAGAGCTGTGCTTTCACTGAGCGCCGCGGCTGTCATTACAAAGCGGCAGCAGCTGCACCAGGACGTGCACATTCGAGTGCATCGCTTGAATGTGCTTAGAGCAAATAACAGCAAGTGCCCGCTGTCACACATTTCACAGAAATTACATTATCAGCAGATAAAGGTTGTAAATCGTGGATCCGTGGAATATTTTCATCCCTAGTTTATCCTGATTCACACAACACACCCACTTATACATTTTGGATAGTAAGAGCACAATAAGTATTTTCTCAGCCTTTCAACCAACCTGTTTCTTTATTGGAGCCAGTTCTGTTCTGTCTCTGTGCCGTGTGAGCTCCTCGGAACATTAAACAGTGCGCTGACAGATTAGAAATAACGTAAGTACTTTGAATGGTAATAGATCTACAGTACTTTCCTCTGATTACTCACGTGCTACAACGCTCAGGGAACGAAAAAAAACACTTGCTTCACGCTGGCTAACTTTTAAAAATTAAACAGTCACTCAGTGCTTCAGTTTGGCGCTGAAGAAGACAGCCAATCACTGCAGAGAACGGAACGGGTCACGTGCTGCTGCTGTTGCTCTGGAGGCGAGGAGGAGGCGTGACGTGTGCACAAACGGAAGACATGTGTCCCGGACCGTC